GAGCTCAGTGCCCAGTTTCTGGCTCCAGGGGGTATCCTGACCCAGCCAGAAGGTGAAAATCCATGGGAAAATGGCAAGAGATAAGAGTATTTTTATGTGCAGTGTTTGACCTTTGGCTCAGAATGTGCTGGGATGAAATGCAGGAGAGGCCTGAACCCAAACCAGGAGCTTTTGGGGGTCAGGTTTATACAGCAAAGACTATTGATAGAATCTCAGACTGGTTTGGGTTGAAGGGACCTTAAAGCCCATCTCATTTCACCCCTGCCACGGGCAGGGACACCTTCTACTATCCCAGGTTGCTCCAAGCCCTGCCCAACCTGGCCTTGGACACTTCCAGGGATGGGTCAACCACAACTTGTTCCAATTCTAGACTTCAATAAATAATCAAACTTTTATCAGCCCCTTCACAACTGCAGTACCATGTTTATTTACACTTCAAAGCCCTTTTTCTTTATTGTTTTCCTCTTTGCAGCTCTGTGGCCTCTCTGTGTCCCTGGAGAGGGACAGGAAGCAGAGGTGATGGATTTTTGCCTTTCCAGGAGAGGGACAAGGATGGTGTCAGTGATGGCACAGTGAGAACCAGCTCCTGAGGGCTGGGTTCTCCCAGCTCACTATGGGGTTACACCAGTGCTGATACTGGTGGGAGAGGCTGCAGATGCTGCCAGGAGAATCATGGAATGTTCTGGATTGGAAGGGGTGATCAAGTCCAGCTCCTGGCCCTGCACAGACACCCCAGCAATCCCACCCTGTCCCTCAGAGCGTTGTCCAAACACTCTTTTGAGGTCTGGTGAGTTTGGGGACGTGCCCACTGCCCTGGGGAGCCTGTTCAGTGCCCAACCACCCTGTGGGGGAAATCCTGAATAGGGCTGGAGGAGTCTGATTTGAGCACCAAACACAGTTAGTGTTGATTTGATCCCAAATGTGCAGCTCCTGTTTGCTCAGGAGCACTTGGAGAGCTGATCCAGAGGTGGGAAGAGGATCTTTCTTGGTCACAGACCTGTACCAGGCTCCATCCCAAGATGTCCTGTGCTTCCACACTGTGTGGGCACAGTGGATGAGCCACAGGTCACAGAGTGGAATGCTCCAGAGTGGAAAGTCTGTGGAGTGTCATTGCACTGTGATAGAAAATCCTCATAGTTTACTTTCTGTTCTGATCTTGGTATCATGGGATTGACCAAGTCATCCCTCAGATCCCAGCTGGCTGTGCCTCTCACCTTTCCAGACCCCAGACATTGGCCTTCTCTGTTCCCAATTCCACAGCCCTTCTCCTGCCTTCAGTCTCTTCCCTCTGGCAGGGATGGTGATTTGTCTGGTAAAGGCTCAAGTTATTTAAATGTTGTGGGGAAAAATTACACTAAGAGGTGCACAAATAACTCCACATCCACCAGGATGGGCATTCCCAGTGGAGTCCTGCCCTGCTGACACTACAGGATATGGGGGTCACTGTCCTCAATTTGTTCCTATTTTTCTTTGGTTTGGTGTATTAACAGCTTTCCTTTAAATCTTGCTTGTCCCTTTCATCTTCCTCCCTTCTCAAGGAGGACATCAAAGGTGCTCAGATGTTTGCCAGAGCTGGAATAATAACACTTGGAGCTTTCCTGGAGGCAGGATGTGGGATCCTGGACATGAATAGCTCCCTTGTTGTCTGAGTGCCTGCTGTGAGCTCGTCTAGGAGCCACCATGTGCTTCCCTGCCTGGCTGCAGCTCCAGGGATTTACACAGCATAGAAATAGCTCATTTTACCCAGTGACAGTCCTCTGGCTGGCCCAGCCCACGTGTGTGACATCAGTGTGGAGCTGCATTCTTAAATGAGGAGCAGGGAGCTGCCACTCCCCAGTGATCCCACCTCCACTTAGTGCCAGAGCAACAGCATTGACACTTTGGGTTGTTCAGGATCAGCTTTTTCTGCTTTCCTAGACCTGATGCTTTCTGGCAGTCTCTGGGTGCTCTTCCCTCTCCCCAGAGGTTCCTCTCCTCACAGAGGTACTCTGAGCTTCTCATTCCCTTTTTTCTCACCTTGCCTTCCCAATGGCTCCTCAGTTGTTTCCTTCATTTACAGGATGTAGCTGTAGCTCTGGTGTAGTGTAGTGTCTGTGCTCTGGCACAGGCACTGATGTGACAGTGACACAAGGCCCTGTAGTGACAGATCACCCTGTGAGCACAGCCCTGCCTCCTGTAATCCCGGAGAAAATAAGTGATTTGAGGGAGAAGTGGAGATGCTGGAGCATGTCCAGGGAAGGGAACAGAGCTGGGGAAGGGGCTGGAGCAGCAGGAGGGGCTGAGGGAGCTGGGGGGGCTCAGCCTGGAGAAAAGGAGGCTCAGGGGGGACCTTCTGGCTCTGCAACCCCCTGACAGGAGGGGGGAGCCGGGGGGGGTCGGGCTCTGCTCTCAGGGAACAAGGGACAGGAGGAGAGGGAACGGCCTCAGGCTGTGCCAGGGGAGGCTCAGGTGGGACATCAGCAGGAATTTCTTCCTGGAAAAGGTGGTCAGGCATTGGAAGGGGCTGCCCAGGGAGGTGTGGAGTCCCCATCCTTGGAGGGATTCAAAAATCAGGTGGATGTGGCACCTCGGGATACGATTTAGTGGTGACCGTGCTGGGGCTTGGTGATCCTGGAGGTCTTTTCCAGCCCTACCAACTCCATGATTCCGTGCTGCAGTGGTGGGAGCACCTCTGGGCAGTGTGTGACAGCTGGGCAGGCACGGGCTATGTGTCCCCTTCCCTTTTCCTCTGGGGTCAGGGGGTGAGGGAGCTCCTATGGGAACACAGCAGTGTGTCCCTGCTGGGCCTGTGTGGGAGGCAGGAGTGCTGGGAAGAGCTGAGCCCTTTGATCCTGCCTTCTCCTCTGCCTCCCAAGGAAACATCCACAGTGTTCACCCAGGGGTAACCCCTTCCATTTAAATCCTACAGAAACATCCCATCTCCTCAGTCACACTGGGGGTTGTTCTGTGATGATCGTTGGAATTGGGGCTTTCTGGAGGCTTTGCTGCTTTTTCCCACCTTGTAGAAGAATTGCAGGTGCTCTGCCTGCAGCTGTTGTCTCTTCCTGTAAAAAGCACACCTTGGTGTTTGTTCTGTGACCTGTGGCTCATCCAGCCTCACTCCATCCTCACTTGGGCTCGTTTTACTGGTTCCTACATGACAGTAGCTGAGGGCACAGCCCTTCACACACTGTGCTTAATCCCTGCTTTTCTGAGCCTGGCTCTACTTATTCACTGCCTACAGGTTGGATTCTCCTCTTCAGATTAATTCTGACTGCTCCTCAAACAAGGGATGCAAAACCACCTTCAGATTTACGTGGTGGATCTTGTTAGGAATTAAACTGGGTGGTGGAATAAAAATCCAAAATGAAAAAAGAAGCCTGTGAGGGTTATTGGCACCTTCCTGGAGATGCAGGCTGGCATCTGTGTGGAAATCCACTCTCAATTTTTCCCCAAGGACAGAGAGAAAACGTTGAAACGAGGCCATAACTCCCCAAAAGGGTCTGCTGAAAAATACTTCAAGTTCTGGGAGTGTTTCTGGACACTCCCCTCTTATCTCAAAACCAAATACCTTGAGAAGGAACGAGCTGTTGTAACATTCTTGAAGCACAGCAAATGAACCCAAACAAAATCACCCCAAAATAGCCCAAAATCTTCCAGATTTCCCCAAATCCACACATTTTCCCCAGAATTCCATCAAAACGCTACCAAAATCCACGTAAAATACCCCGAAATACCACTGAAATTCACCCAAGAGGCCTCTAAAATCCACCCAAATCCCATCAAAATGCACTCAAATACCACTGAAATCCATCAAAATTCCCCCAAATTCATGGAATTCACTTCAGAATTCCCAAAATGTCCAAAATTCCCCACTGAAACACCAAAATTCAATCAGAATAGCCCCATATCCCATCAAAATGGCCCAAAAGTGTAACAAAATGCCCCCAAAACATGTAAAATGCATCTGAAGCACCCCCAAATCTCCTAAAATATCCCAGAATTTTCCCAAATCCCCCCAATATTCCCAAACCCACAAAACCACCTCCAAAAGTCCCCAAGTTCCATCAAATCCACCTGAAATACATGCAAAATACACTCAACCCCCCAAATCATCCCCAAATCCTCCAAACCCCCCAAATCCCATCAAAATACCCTCCAAATATCCCAAAATGCCCTCAAAATCCATCCAAATCCTTGGAAATCCTATCAAAATAGCTCCAAAGCCCATGAAAAGCCACCCCAAATGCCTCCAAATCCGCCCAAAGTCCCATTAAATTCCTACAAAAATTCACCACAATGCCTCCAAACCCACCCTGATCCCCAAATATCCCAAAATTCCCCATGGAAACGTTCACTGGTGAGCAGTGGGATGCTGGATTTTAGGGAAATCTGAGGTCCTGCAGCAGGATGCTCCAGAAAATCCTGGAATTGCTTGAGTTGGAAGGGATGTTCAAGCTCAGCCAAAACCTGTGGGAAACAAATCACAGAATCACAAAATCCTGGAATGGTTTGGGTTGGAAGGGACCTTAAAGCTCATCCAGTGCCACCCCCTGCCATGGGCAGGGACACCTTCCACTAGCCCAGGTCTCTCCAAACATCCATCCTGGCCTTGGACACTTCCAGGGCTGGGGCAGGCTCAGCTTCCCTTCAGGAATTCCCTTCAGGAATGCTCAGCTCTTGTGTTTCTCACTTGCTCCCTGCACTGCTGCACTGGAAGAGTCATGGAATAACAGAATATCTGAAGTTGGAAGGGACACACCAGGACCATCAAGTCCAACTCCTGGCCCTGCAGGGGACACCCTGAAAATCCCAGAAAAAAAGGCTCTTTTTTTGTGTGTGCCAGAAAAAAGGCTCCTTCTGTCTCAGAGCAGCACTCTGGCTCTCAGGAGCCCCAAAAAGAGGCACTGAGGGGTTGTTGTGTTTTTGCAGGCAGCACAGTGCCCACGTGTGCTTCTGTGTCCCCTGTCACCCTGTGTGACATCCTGTCCTGCCTGCAGCCCTCACATCCTCACAAAGTTTCCCAAGCCCTGGAATGAAACTCTCTTGGTTCTTAAGGCCTTGTCAAACTTTCTCACCATGTGCAGGGCCTGGGGAAGCTTGAGAAAATTCTCCTTGCTGCATCCCTTTCCCTGGAAGGTTTAACTCTTTCCCATCCTATTCCAAAGACTGTGAGGATTTGCTTTTTTGTGTGTGTGTGTGTGGGTTGGGGATTTGTAGGATTTGTAGTGAGTCTTGTTATCCCACAGGAAAATGTGGACACTTGATTTTGATTGTGGAGCTACAAAACCTGGTAATGCCAGGGGTCTACTGGGTGTGGAGTGACTCCATCCTCTGCTCCCTTCCCTGGAATCCCAGAGGACTCTACACAGCTCCAAACCAAGTGTTGTCTTGGCTCTTCCACCTCCCTAAAAGAATTGTTCTCTTTCACATTAAATAAGCTGCCAGCTCCCTTCTTTATTCCCTAATTGACAGGCTGTGCCTGGTGCTGGGACACTCAATCCATGAGAAATCGTGTCCCTGGTTTTAAAGGAAATACAGACTCAGCTTGTCTCTCCATAACCTGGGGTAGGAATATTTGTGGGGAAGCTGCACTTGTATGGAAGAGGGAGGAATCAACCTTCTCTTCTGTCCACATGAGGACACTTTCCCCAAGCAATTGGCTCCTCAGGGGAAGTTTGTGGTTGAGGGGTTGAAGTGTGGAAGAGAGCAGTTTGGGAGGGTTGTGCCCAGTTCTGTGGGTGCAGAGTCGTTGCACATGTGGGCACCTGGGCAGGTGCTGCTCACCTGGAGCAGGGATGGCTAAAAACTGGGATGGTCAGAGCAGCTGTCCTGGCTGGGCCACATTCCTCACTGGGGCTGTCCAGGGCTATCCCAGGCACTCTCACAGGCTTGGGTCACCTCACTGCCCATCCCTGCTCCATGAAACCCTCCTTTGTTCTTCCCTCCTGTCCTCTTTGTGTCCTTGAATGGAGCAAAAATTCCTGGTCAGCCCCTCTGCTCTGGAGCCAGACTGGGAGAGCTGAGGGGGTTCCCCTGGAGAAGAGAAGGCTCCAGGGAGAGCTGAGAGCCCCTGGCAGGGCCTAAAGGGGCTCCAGGAGAGCTGGAGAGGGACTGGGGACAAGGGATGGAGGGACAGGACACAGGGAATGGCTTCAAATTGGAAAAGGGGAGATTTGGGGGGATATTGGGAAGGAATTGTTTCCTGTGATGGTGGTGAGGGGCTGGGATGGAATTCCCAGAGAAGCTGTGGCTGCCCCTGGATCCCTGGAAGTGTCCAAGGCCAGGTTGGACAGGGCTTGGAGCAACCTGGGCTATGGAAGGTGTCCCTGCCCATGGCAGGGAGTGGGACTGGATGATCATTAGGATCCCTTCCAAATCAAACCATTCCATGATTCCCTGACAGACATTTGCCAGGGAAGTCTCTCTTTGCTGCTGATGGATGGATGAATTGGTAGCTCCCTGCTGTAGGCCGGTGTTGCTTTTGGTTGGGAAGTTGGAGCTTTATATTAAATAAATGCAAGATATTACAATTATTTTTAGAGGCTCACTTACCTGCTTCCCTTTAGTTCCCAAAGAAAGGGAATCCCTCAGTTTTTTGCAGGATGGGGGTTGGATGGCCCCAGCATTCCCTCTCTCTGTGCTGGAAGGGGATGCAGCAGCTGGGCTGTGTGTGCTGCCAGCACAGGCTGATCACATCCTCTCCCCAGCACTGTTTTCTGATTAAATACATACAAATTGCTGCTCTGCATCATCAAACTGTTCAGTGCTTTGGGGTGCTCTGCTGATGCCATTCCAGTGCACCCAGGCCTGATCTCAGGGTAATCTCTGCTTGGTGGTTCCTCACGTGCCTCAAATTTGAGGGTTTAGCTGCATTTTAGAGTTCCTTGTGACCTTTATTCCAGCACCAGCTGTTCTTGTTCTGCATCCAAATGATGGAGAGCTTTTGCTTCAGGGCTTTGCAGAAACACAGCCTGGGGGGCTCCATGTGTCATGGGGAGGGGGGAATGTGGGAGAGCAGGAGGGAGTGTGAGGGAATCCAGGAGAGCACGAGGGGGTGAAAGGGACACTGGGGAGGAGGAGGGGGTGCAGTGGGAAGTTGGGGAGAAGAAAGGGTGCAGTGGGAATCCAGGAGAGCAGGAGAAGTTGGGGAGCACAGGATGGTGCAATGGGAAATTGGAGAGCAGAAGAGAAGCAGGGGAAGTTGTGGGGCAGGAAGGGGTGCAGTGGGAAGTTGTGGGG